CTTTCCCTATCACATTTCTTTAATATGTCAAGTCCTACAGACTTTCCCAAAGAAAAAAGAAAGGTGTCTTATCACTATGAGAAACATGTTACGCTTTAATGTTGCCATTATCAACAACGTATGGCTTTGCTAATTAATTTGTTTTATGCTTTAAAAGAAGAAGCTATATTTCAACTTAATCAAACCTATATTAATTGCAAATAACTTATAGTATTGATTGTTAAATCTTTGTTCACCTTTATGATGTTCTACTCCTATATCCCATATCCTATACATTATAATGTCTAGAAACAGCAGGCGGTTGGTTAGTTGCATCAACTGCAACAGCAAACTGCAATAAAATTATATATTAAGCAAAAGAAATGGAGGGCCCACCACTATGGCCCACTAAAAGCAAGTCAAAGGCCTCCTCTACTCTATTGGTTGCCGACGCGTGCAATCTTATCTTTTTAACTCATCATCAACGTTCATTCGTATTGTCCATCCTTTCCGGTAATTTTTAGACTTGGCCAAAACTATCAAGAATCAATGGACAACGCGACAAAATTCACCAGCCACCCTATTTGACCGTATAGCGTCTTCCACGCTAAAAATCCAATATATATATATATATATATGTGTGTTATATATATGTGTGTGTGTGTACTTTTCTATTGTCCTTCAATTTAAAAAGAGGACTTACTTCCGGTATTAATGTAACTAATTTGTATTAAGTCGTAAAAGTCATTTTTAAACGTATAATAATAAACAATTTTCATATACTTAAAAATAATTTTTAATTTTTAAATAGTAAATGTATCACTAAATATAAGAGAATTATATTAATTTTTTAACCGTAATTGTGCGAGTTAATAGAGCACACTTTAGAGGCGGATCTTATTTCCTTTCTGAACTTTCCAATTCTGGTGGTGTACTATTATTGTTTCAAAGGTTTGAAGTGTTAAAAGGGTTCGAAGTCAACACATTTTCTTCTTCATTAACTAAAGATCATGTCAAAGATGAAAAACTACTAATGTTGAAAATTTTTAAAACTGTTTAAAGCATTACCGCATATTAAAAGATACTGGCTAGCTTTGGATGTAAATCTTGTAATCGCTTTAAGGAAATACTTTTATTTGTTATGGTTTTACCGAAACATCGCCAAGCTTTTCAGCCAAAAATGCCTCGCTTGTGGCTTGTTGCTCTGCGCTGCTGCGATTATGAAAGGAATGGGCCATCAAAAGCACCAAGCCATTCATTTTTGAATATGGTGTCCGGTTAATTGCATATGTAATTCTTCATTTGAATTAACGACTTATTTTAACGGTCTCAATTGATTCTGCGCGTCTGCGTAGAAAAGACCAACAGCAAGCAGCTCCATCATCCACATGCTTTTCAGCCAAAAAAAAAAAAAAAAAGGCCTATAGTAGCACCACTAACGATTTACTAAGTCATTATATTTTTTTTTCCTGCTTGAAGAAAGCAATGCCATGTTTTGTAATATGTTAAATCAAACAAAGATAAGGGTTAAGCATAAAGCTAAAATCAACGGATAGAAGGCGCCCTTTATGTTTTCTCTCTGTATTAACATTACATCATTGTGTTTGAGTGTTGACACGTCTAACAAGAAAATCGTTTAATGATCGCCACACATATAACGCGTAAGTGGATAGTTTATGTATAAAAATGTAATATAAATTTGGAACATATTATTCCCGCCTAAATTTATAACTTCTGATTTGATTTGATGTAGAACGTCGTTTGTACTATTCTTGGAAATTATTCATCTCGATTTGACACTTTGAAACTTTCCACTTCCAGATATGATAAGATATTGTACACTTGTACCTATTCTTGGATATTATTCATCCGCGTTTAATACTTTTTCAAACGTTCCATTCCACTTTCCGAATAGCAGAGTGAATTTTATAGTCCTTTATTCAATCTGAAAAAATTAGCCTGATGGTTTAAATTAGGATAATTTTACGAGACGTTTAGTTTATATATTAGAATTATGAGATTAGAATTATTTTTAATTTATATGTATTTTTTGTAAGAAAAAAATACTGTAGTGAACTATGAATCGAGATACGAATCCCCCAACCAAACAACCCCAGATTTAATTTTAAAATTAAAATTAAAATTTATGATTTTAAGTTTAATAATGATTCTAGAATCAGAATTAAAATTAGGGGTGTGAATCACCCAAAATTAAGGAGAGGTAGTTTTAAAACTAAAAATGGTTCTGATTTAAAATATCAAATCAGGGTTCAAACCTTGAACAACCAAACATTAGTTTTCAAACCTTGAACAAGAACCATTTAAATCAAACACTAAATTTCAAACCTTGAACTAGAACCATATTTTACTTTTTTCAAACAAATAAAGGTTTGAACCAAAACCATGATTCTGGTTCTAGAACCCTCAAACCAAATGCTACAGACTATGAACGGGTCTAATAGTCAAAAACCCCGAGCTTCATAATTATGTGTAAACGCTAAGAAAAAAAATGAATATCCTCAACAAGGAAAAAAA